TCCGTATGTTGCTTGGATTTCACTATCATGTCATCAATGTACGCCTCTGCATTCCTCCGAATCTGATTAATGAAAATAGTACTAATCATCCGTTAGAAAGTAGCAAGCTCATTCTTCAAGCCAAATGACATCACAGTATAACAGAATAACCCCAGATCAGTGACGAAAGTCATCTTCTCTTGACCTTTCTTCCGCATGGGTATCTGGTGGAAACCTGAGTAACCATTCATAAAACTCATCAAGGCATGCCCGGCTATAGAGTCGACCAAGTTGTCGATATTTGGAAGCGGGTAACTATCCTTTGGACATGCCTTGTTCAAGTTAGTGTAATCTACACACATGCGCTAGGTACCATTCGACTTCTTTATAAGCACAATGTTGGCAACCCAATCAGGAAAGTTACATGGCCGAATGAACCTAGCACCTAGCAGTTTTTAACCTCGGCAGCTGCTGCCTGACTTCTCTCCTCGCCGTGATTTCTTTTCTTCTACCAGATGGACTTCTTTTTAGGATCAACGGCGAGTTTGTGGAAAGCGAGATCCGGGCTGATGCCTGACATCTCTTTCACTTCAAAGGCAAAAATGTCTTTTAATTCCTTCAGCATAAGGTACAAGTATGCACCCAATTTTTCAAAGGCAATTGTCCCCACCTTAATAGTTTGCTCTAGACAACTGTCATCCAAAGGAATATCAATGTGATCACCAATTGGCTGGGGATAGAGTTCATCTGACCGTTCCCCGGTCAGTGATTGTTATTTCTTCTCTTTCTTTACCTCCTTGGCCACCCGTTGATAAGATTTTCTTTTCCTTTTGGGTGCTGGTGGGGTTGGGTCCAAGTCCTTGACATCGTCAAGGTCTATTGGCTCATTTCCTGGCCTGACTACTGCAACCGTGGGCTTAACGTATGAGAGATAACACTCCCTAGTCGTCTTCTAATCCCATTTCAGAAGCCAACATAGCTATCATCCCTTTCATATTTTAACAACATGAGAGCTGGGATGATGATGGCTTTGTACTCGTTCAGCATGGGGCGGCCTAGAATAATGTAGTAGGAGGTCAGCTCTTCAACCACCAAAAACCGGACGACCATATGTCGCCCTTTTCCCTTCTCACCCAGCTGGATGGGTAAGTCAATTTGTCCGACTGGGTGCACGACCCCTCCCCCAAAACTAACAAGAGGGTAGGAGACATTGTGCAGGTTATCCAGCTTGTACTTCATCTTGGACAGACACTTATAGCTAATGAGGTTAGAGGAGCTGCCCATGTTTATAAGGATCCGACCAACTAGTTAGTTGGCGATCTTACATTCAATGACAACCAGGTCGTCATGGGCCGACAGACTTTGCCCCGATCCCACTTAATAATAACAACCTTTGGGAAGGTGTTGTCGGCTAACGCCTTCCCCTCATTAACTGAATTGACCATCTTTTTCAGGTGGTCTTTGGTGCCACGAATGATCGGGCCACCTCCAGCAAACCCGCCTGCTATTGTGTAGACCGACTCTTTGTCAGTGTCCGAGCTTCTAGCAGGCTCGACAATCTTGGATGACTGTGAGGGTTAGTCTTGACAGTCACTTTGTACTTCATGATGTACGACTTCAGAACCCCCTTGTCAGCTAGACTGTCCAACGTCCGCTTGAGGCTATAGCAGTAGATGGTGTCATGGTCGACTTCTTCATGGAAGTGATAGTATAAAAAGGAAGAAAATGCCTGCACGAAGAATTGAACCTCAATCCCTTCCCTTAGACCTTGTAAATAATATATTGCTCTTCAGTGGCAGAGCCAGGAATTTTAAACCGGGGGGACAAATGAAAATCATAGTTTAGTTTGACAAAAGTATTATATTAGAGCAAAAAACTACTTAAATATTTTTTACAACATAAGAATATATAGTATGAGTACTTAGTTAAAAAATCAACATCACGTATCATTTTTTTCTCCATAAAGGAAAAAAATGCCTGCAGGAAGAATCAAACCTCAATCCCTTCCCTTAGACCACAAACACATGCAATAATTCACATTGACCGCTGCGCTAACTCCATTGATGTATTGGTAATTGTACAAAATATTGGATTTAAACAATTTTTCGTTTGGGAAGTGGGGGGACAGCTGTCCCCCCGTGTCCCACGCTGGCTCCAGTGCATGTGCATAAGGTTTGTTGGTGTAGGGTTGGTGGTACCATCATAGGCACCAACCAAGACATTCTTAACCTTGGCCGGCTATGCCGCCTCGATTATTTCCCTAGTAAACACAGAGGTTTGTTCACCAAGTCTGAGCAACCGGAGCTGCCACTCCAGGGGCTGGACATTATATGCCGCCTGGCCTCAGAAAAGGGTCGGCTACATGAATTGTGTTGCCCGTATAGCATATGAGGCACATACGGGGCATACCCGATCATTTGAGGGCCAGTATGGACGGGCTTGCCGCCTATATGGCTCTCATGGAAGGATTGAGAATTCCTTGCGGATGTGTTTTTAAAATTGTTTGGAAAGATGTAGAGGCCGACTCAGACAGTTGCTGGCTCCGGTTGTGCTCGATGATGTGTCGAGCATCGGAGAAGGTTTTCTTGCTACCATCCGGCTGAACTGTCCGGATAACTTTCCTCTTTCCCGTTGAGGCAAAAAGATTTTGGACCAGTCAATGGCAGGGGTGACCGCCTTATCCTTTGGATGTGGAGTGGGCTGACTGTCTCTAATTGGCTTTCTCCTCGCAGCTTGAGGAGTCTTCTTCGCCGACTGACCCTTGCTAGAGCCGACCGTCCTTTTGTTGATCAGGCATTGAATTCACCTTTGAAGCTTGTCATGAAGTTTCATGAGTTTATCTCGAGTGATAGGAGCCTGACCCCTTGCCATTTGGGTGTTCCCAGGCAGTGGTCCAACAAGCTTATTGGGACCCACTTCATTGTTGCTCCGTTCCAGCTTGCCTTTAGGACGGAGGCGCTTTGAGATGAGTGACCCATCAGGGGCCACATATGTTTCGACTTCGTGGTAGTTATCTGAATCATGGTCCGTATGGGCCTCCCTGTTGGCCGTAGGCCGGTTAGGTTCAGGTGGCGGTACATAATCTTGAACCATCTTAGAGGTGCTCTCCCTACTAACGGTGCCAAATGTTTTGGGTGTTTTTGGTCCATCGGGAGAGACGTCACCAAGACTGGTCCGACGCGATATGTATCTACAAAGCACGGAAACTCTTGTTGGTAGGAGCTCCGCCTCCGACGATCAAGTTAGTATTGGTCGTAGGAGATGAAAAGGTGCGGAAATGGTAAAAGTGAGATCTTCTTGGATTCCGAGATTGGGTGTTTTTCTCTAATGTGATAGAATGATGTAGGGTTGTTGTAATAATTGTATGTGTCCCAAAAATGGGGGGGGGGGGAATCTCCCGATTTATAGGGTCATTAGTAAATGTACCCCTGATTAGGTCACTCTGACCTAAACCTGATGGGATGTGTCGCATTGCGGCTTTCTCGGGATTTGGGTCCTAAAGGTCGTCTTTTCTCCTGAACTTTGTGAGTGCCACATGTCAAACAGGGATAGGTCCACTTTGGCCTTATCCTGGGCTGACACGTGACGCCTGCTGGCTGGACCACGTGGCATGGGTAATTTTACCCAAAACAGAAAAGAATTACAATATTTTGCTTCGGCATGAGTTGCAATTTGTTGGTGAGGTTCAACTTCTAATTAGGTGTAAATAGCAAAAAAAAAAAAAGAGAAAAAAAAAGAAATGAATGCTTGAAAATCATAGTCAAAGCCTGAATAGTACACACATGTTTCATTTTACAAAAAAATGCAAGTTGGTGGTTTATGTTTGCAAAAAAAGCTTTAAAAGGTTTTTTTCCGTAAAATGATACTTTAAATTTTTATTTTTTTTTTACTAATTTTCCGAAACAAAATTTCTTTATAAAATTAAAATTGTTTTTTCTCCTTCTATATAAATTCAAAAAACTAAGAAAAAAAATTAGAAAATAACACCACAAAAAAACCTAATTTTTTATTATAACACCACAAAAAAAACTTTTATTATAACATCTCAAAAAAATCCCAAAAATTGATTTCACCACCACTTAACGGTTTTTTTTGGATAAAACTGTTAATGAGGCCCTTGAAGACATGTGTCAAGTGTCTAATGGTTTAAATAAATTATTAAAAAAAACTATAACTCCTTACCCAGCCAGCCCACCACCCTACACCACCCCAGCCGCGTCTACTGCCAGCATCCCTTGCCCTCAAACAGTCGAAAACCACCCCTTCAACCACCGCTTCACCTCTTCCCCCTTCCCCCTCCCCAAAATCCACCCAAGCCCTTTAAACTACCGCAAAATCCATACATAACTGCAGTGAAATCCACCACCATTTCTTAAAGTGCTGCAAAATACACAGCCATTTCCCACATTTTTGCGAATTCGGCGGCCGAAATCGACCAATCAAGGGTTTCATGGTCGATTTCGGCCGTTTGAGGGTGAAAGGTAAGGGAGGGTGGTTTTCAGGGTTGATGTTGTTGTGGTAGATGGTAAATTGCTGTGGGTAGGTGGTGATTTCTAGAGGTTAGGCAGGGTTGGGGTGGTTTTTGGGGAGGGGGAAGAGGGGAAGGGAGGGTTTCATATGTTTTCGTGGGGGCAGGGATTGACGGCGGCTTAGGTTAGGCTGTCGACGCGGCTGGTGAAGGTGGTGCTGTCGATGGTGGGGCTGGCTAGGTTTGAGTTAGGATTTTTTTTTAATTTTGTTTTTTTTATGGCCCCATAAATGGATTCCATCAAAAAATTTGCAACTAAATCTGTAACTAGGTGGTGAAATCAAATTTTTTAGGATTTGTTTGACATCGTTTTTTGTTTTTAGTTTTCAGTTTTTTTAAAACAAAAAACCAAAATTAGGAAACAAAAAAAAGGGTATTTTTACTTTTTTGTTGTCAGTTTTTAAAATTACCCAAGTTTAATAAATTTGAGTATTTTATATTCATTATATGACATATATCATAAAGTTTTGAAAAACAAAAAACTAAAAACAGAAAACGTGAGTGATGCCAAACAAACCCTTATAGTTTTTTGTGGTGTTACAATATTTTTTTTTTTTATTTTTTGTTTTTGAATCCAAAGTTTTTTTTTTATTTTGTAGTGGTATAATCAAAATTTGGTTTTTTTACGGTGTAATTTTATAATTTTTCCAAAAGTGATAAAACTTCACACATAAACACATTCTTTAAAAAAAAAAAAAAAAACAAAAAAATAAAAAGCACAACCTGAACAACAAAACAGAAAGAGAGGAACACACACAAAAATAACAGAAAGAGAGGAAAAAAAGAAGGGGAGAGACGGAGACGAAGACGAAGAGTCTATAACGGCAGAAGCTACTGCTGTATTCGACCACCACAATCACACGGCCAACCCCACACAATCACACGGCCTTACCTTATTTCAATTCGGATGCGCACGGGCGAATCTACGGTGGCGAAGCCGAAAGTAGAAATTGAAGATCAATGAGGGGCGAAGACGCGACAACGAAGACGAAGACGAGAAAGAGTTTGAGTTTATCTTTCTTCGATGGTGGTTGTAGTCATATTGTTATTAGATGGCTGGCTTGCAAATGAGTTGGCAGCCAAGTCTTGTTCACGAAAAACGCAAAAATGGCGGCCCTTTAGGGTTGAAGAATCTCGGCAATTCCTGTTACCTTAATTCTGTTCTTCAGTGTCTTACTTATACCCCTCCTCTTGCCAATTTTTGCCTCAAGAATCAACATTCTTCTCATTGTATGTCTTTCTATATTTTTGGTTTCGAGTTTTATTGTGGTTAATTTTTGAATTTGTTGTGTTGATTTGTTTTCATCGATTAATTGTTGAATTTGGTATGATTGCATCAGTTAATTTTTCTGTTTTTTATGTATTAATTTGATATGTTTTTATTAGGTTTATTATTTGCCACCATTAGTTTATTGGATTTGTTTTATGCTTGTGTTAAATTTCTCTGTTATTGTCTTATTGAGCTTATCTAGAGAATTATTTGGCAAATTCCTGTTCTTGAACACAATTCGAAATCGATTGTATAAGTTATATGGTGGGTGATTTCTCATATTAGGTAATTCAATGAAGATCTTTATGTGTTAATTGTTTGGACTTGTTGATTTGTAATTTAGCTAATTATTAGAATTTTTGAATGTTTTTCTGTGATATTTTTCAATATAAGCTTTAGGTTAAAGTTGCTACAATTTATTGTTTAGTTCATTGGATTTAGTCGAATTAGCTGCCGGAATTCTTTATGGAATTGATGGGTTAAATATTGTATGTGCAGGTGATTCTTCATCTGAGCCTGATAGAAAACGAGACTGCCCGTTCTGTATATTAGAGAAAAGGATTGTTCGGTCATTGAGCCTTGATTTAGCACTTGACGCACCATCAAAGATTGTGAGCTGCCTCAGGTTGTTTGCAGAGCACTTTAAGTGTGGTAGGCAGGAAGATGCTCATGAGTTCCTCCGCTATGTCATTGATGCTTGCCACAACACGTGCCTTCGCTTGAAGAAATTGCAACAGCAGCGTGCTAGGAAAGTTTCCAATGGAAGCGGAGGAGAGAGTTTTGTTGGGGCTTCCATTGTGAAGGAGATATTTGGGGGTTCTCTGCAAAGTCAGGTGAAATGCCTTTCTTGTGGAACTGAGTCAAATAAGGTCGATGAGATCATGGATATTTGCCTTGAAATATCCAACTGCAGTTCACTTAAAGATGCCATGAAAAGATTTTTTCAGGCTGAAATTTTAGATGGTAATAATAAATACAAATGTGAGAGGTGAGCTATTTCCTTCACTTAACTTATATTCATAAATATCATCGATTTCTTCTCTGTTTATGTGATTTACTTTTGCCTGTTTAGATGCAAGAAACTAGTGGCTGCTAAGAAACAAATGTCCATTCTTCAAGCACCAAATGTACTTGTAGTCCAGCTTAAGGTGGGTTGATTATGCTTCATTTCCCTTTTCACTTCAAATGTTTATTTGGATACTAGTAAATGATAATGAGCTGTGCTGTGTTTTGAATGGGCAGAGATTTGAGGGAATTTTTGGCGGAAAGATAGATAGGGTGATTGCATTTGAAGAAATTTTGGTTCTTTCAAGCTTCATGTGCAAAGCAAGTCAGGTGAGCTTATATCCTTCGCTTTTCTTACTAAATACGACTTAGTTTTGTCACCTCTTTTGTAGAATAGGCTAGTAAAGGTATTAAATTCTTGTCACCTGCATGCCTATTGCTTAGTGTTTCAGAGGTTGGAGATTGGTTTGGTGTTAATTAATTTCAAAGCAAGTCAATGATTTGGAACATTAAAATACGTATTTCAGTTGCAATCGTGGGAGTACATGCCTATCAAAAAGATGTTTGTATGTACAAAATTTGGAGTATTCGAATACATTATTCAGTTGCGATTGTGGGAATAGTTGTGGCATCTCGGGAGATGTGTTGATCATATCATGGTTGTGGTGATGCTAATTTCATTTCCAAGTCTTTTTAAGATTTCATAATAATTGTATGTTGTTGGATAGAGTAGAAAAGTGGAGGATTGGAGTCATTAGTGGGGTGACATGTGGAATCATTCACTTCATCAGAAGTAATATTGAGGGAATCATGGTATGTACTATGTGGCAATCAGTGCAGGGTGATCTGGTTAGGCAGGTAGGAGGCGAGTCACATAAAATATCTTTTTCAATTTCACTATTCTCCCTATAATAATCAAACAAGAAGTAGCCCATGCCGCACATTTTGTGTCTTCCCAAAAGCGACCGGAGCTCTACTCACAACACCTTTTGTAAGTCGCTTTGCCTAGTTACTTTGATGCGTTTTTCCTTTCGCGCCTTAAGAACACTTCACATGTAATGATGCATAAAATGAAAATATGGAACATGTTTCATAAGAGTCAAACTTAAGAGTTGGCCAAATAAGTTGTTATTGAAAACAAAGGGCCAACCCATCTAAGGCAAGTTAGTTATAGTTAGATGCAACAAATACTTTATAAATGTTTTAATTTGCTTACTTGTAATTTACTTATGGACATGAAGGAGCTAGTTAGAAGTCTTCCAATCTTAGCTATCCTTTTTTAGTCCACACAAATATATCCAAGTTGGAATTAGGGAGTATTATTTTATACAAATTTACTTCGTTCTAAATATTTCTTATCTTATATTCTAATTACCACTAGGTATTGATTGCAAGACATTTTTCATCTGTTTATCTAAGTAGTCGTTTCTAATAATAATTATTTTTAAAGGACACAACACACAAGCCAAGTTGAATTACATATAGATTTATATGATGGTTATAACAAAATAATTAACAGCCAAATACTAAAATACAATGTTTAATATGATCATTGCGATATTGCTAGGCCACATATTAGCTGTTTCTTGAAAACATGAGCTCTGGCATATGTGATTTTTTAAAGCGTTTTAATATTAAGAATTGCAAGCGCATGAACTCTCTAAGAATTCCTTCTTTTTTCTTTTTTATTTATTTATTTATTTATTTTTAAATTTTAAGTATTTAACTATCATCCTTATTCTAGTACCATATCTTTATATACCTGAGTCCTTCCTGGATTATAGAGGGTAAAATTTAAAGGGGTAATAGTTATGGGCTTGTAACCTTGGACTGGATTGAGTTTAATCTTTTGGCCTTGTAAAAATTTCTTCTCAAATGAGTGTAATATATTACTCCCCCCCCCCCCCCCCAAGAGTAACAATTACCCGGTCAAATTCTAACTTACCCATTTTCTTTGTTTCCCCCTTTTTCCAACCTGTTCCCAAATTCACTATCTCCTCTATCCATAGCCATGAAATTGCAATATAAATTCAGTTTGTTTTCAGAAATGGTATGTATTGTGATTTTTTTTTTTTTTAAATTCAATAATTTATTAATTTCAATTTTCATTTATTATAAGTACTCTAATTTTGACCTTGATTTTCAGTTATAAAAAAAATTGTTGACTTGATTTTCAATAATCAGTTTATTTTTAAAAAATTTAACTTCAATTTTTAACTTGATTTCTTCAAAAAAAAAAATTTTCTTATAAATTTCGATGATGGTCCGAATTGAATTTTGAACTATTCTTCTTTTTTCCCCTCTCTTTTGACGAGATTTTTCTGTGAGATTTTTTTTTCGTTTTTGTTTTTCAGATTACTATTGTATAAATGTACCATAAATTTAATTATACTCATAATTTTTGGACGAGAATTTTTTAAGTGATTTTGTTGAAAAAATGTGAAAAAATGTAAAAATGTGATTTGTTTGTTTTGACTTAAAATATTGTGATATTTAAATGATTTTAAGGAAACAAAAATAATTATAGAAGAAGAATGTGCAGCAGGAAGTAGCAGGACTAGCAGCTAGTGATTGCTCCATATAAATGCCAACCACAAGAATAAGTTTCCCTAGTAATAAGTTATCTTGTGCCAAACTTACTTTAAATGAGTCCCCTTAACAGTTTCCCTTCGTTAATTACTCCCCCCTAACAAATTCCCTCCTAATCATTATCCTCCTAACAACTCCCTTAAATCTAGGCAAGCCTCTAACCTCATAAAATTGGCCCCACCATATTGTTGTCCGCACTTACACTCCATGTTCGTCTTCTCCAACCCTTCACCATCATGCTCATGTTTTCCAACTTTCCATTCAAACTTCAATGTTAAAAGAAATTAAAAAATTCAGGCAACCATCTTTATTATCTCCACCTGAACCTCTCTTCACCACCCCCTCTTCTATAGCACTACAACAATGAGGTCGAAATAAGTAGGGATGAGAAAAAGGCAGGGTACCAGGAATGGGAAGGAACCAAAACCATAAAACTTGGTTATGGCCCTTGTGGGTAACAAAATGGGCAATGTGTTGCAACAGGTTCCGGAAGTCGAGTGCCCAAAAATTGGAATCACAACCGGAATTTGCTATTTAAACCCAAGTCATAAATTAATGCAAGCCCATTCCTAAATAAAAAAAAAGAAGATAGAATCACAATATAGGCTCAAATCATATAATAATATCTATGCTCAAACTATGTAATACATTGTTTTAATGAAATGACTATTCAAGTTTATGAAATGACATGGTATCTTGAATCTTAATCTAAATCAGGTGGTTCCAATTCTGGTTCTGCTTTTGAGGAACCCGTTGCAACTATTCAGATTTAGGAAAATTTTGACTGTGCGGTTCACCCTTAGAAATAAGAACATCCATCACAATGGCACCTGATTATTTTGAAGGTAAGATATAAAGACAACTTATCCCTGAAAGGGTAGACGTAACTAATCGATTATTGGGCAAAATATGGCCACTGGAAAATTAACAAGCTCCTTTTCACTCTTTCCCCTCTCGATTATCTCCACTTGAATCTCTCTTCACCACCCCCTCTTCTATAGCACTACAGCAGTGAGGTCGAAATAAGTAGGGATGAGCAAAAGGCAGGGTACCAGGAATGGGAAGGAACCAAAACCATCAAACTTGGTTATGGCCCTTGTGGGTAACAAAATGGGCAGTGTGTTGCAACAGGTTCCGGAAGTCGAGTGCCCAAAAATTGGAATCACAACCGGAATTTGCTATTTAAACCCAAGTCATATATTAATGCAAGCCCATTCCTAATAAAAAAAAGAAGATAGAATAACAATATAGGCTCAAATCATACATAATATCTATGCTCAAACTATGTAATACATTGTTTTAATGAAATGACTATTCAAGTTTATGAAATGACATGGTATCTTGAATCTTAATCTAAATCAGGGGGTTCCAATTCTGGTTCTGCTTTAGGAACCCGTTGCAACTATTCAGATTTAGGAAAATTTTGACTGTGCGGTTCACCCTTAGAAATAAGAACATCCATCACCTAGGTTGCACAGAAACGGATATGGGTACAAAAACGGGTACGGATACGGGGACGAAAAACGGCAAAATAAAAATTCTAAATACGGGTACGGCGAGGATACGGCAAAAAAAAAATCAGAAAAATTAAAATTCAGAAAAATGATCATAAAAAAACCAACTGATATTTTTTTTTTTGAGGAAACCCACGCAATGTTTTTAAAAACTACTGAGTACGAATCGTAGTAATACTGTAGATAAGTAAGACTAAAAATTTTTTTTAAAAAAAGGAGAGTGAAAAAAGTTAGAGAATTACAGCTAATTTACCCTTTTTATTTAATTACAATTACTGCAACTTTACCTTTTACCAATTGAAATGTTAGATAATTAAAAAAAAAAACCATCTTCTTCCTCATCTTCTCGAAGGTTCAGAAATGGCTGCTTGTAGATCGCCAACCACTAGTGTCATCTGCAAGTGGTAGCCTCCAAGGAATTGTGGGGCGCAATATTGTAGGTGGCTTCTTCAATTTTTAGGGTTTTCAAGAAATCAAAATCAGGCAAGTAAAATTGGGGTGTTTTAAAAAAAAAGTGGGTTGGGCTTCAATTGGGGACGTCAGACATGGAGGTGATCCGTCCCCGAAACGTTTTCGAAGCTGCTCCAAGCTGTCCCCAAATTTTCTCACCGTACAACTTTTCAAGGGTACGCCTTGGGGACGTATCCGGGCCGTACCCTTCCCCGATACGTCCCCGGTATGGGAAACGGCAGGAGGTTGGCGTACCCGTGCATCATAGTCCATCACAATGGCACCTGATTATTTTGAAGGTAAGATAAAAAGACAACTTATCCCTGAAAGGGTAGACATAATGAATTGATTATTGGGCAAAATATGGCCACTGGAAAATTAACAAGCTCCCAATCACTCTTTCCCCTCTCGATTATCTATTTTTCCCTTGTCCCTTAATTTTTGTTCAATTTACTCACTCTATCAGTCTACTTTAGGTTACTTGACCGGGGGGGGGGGGGGGGGGTTGGGTGGGTGAGTTAGTGGGTGGTGGTGTTAGGGTTTATGATGGGTTTTGATGGGGTGGTGGTGACTACTAGTGGTGATAATGGTGGGGGCAATGGGTTGGCGGTGGAATTTGGTGGGTGTGTAAGTGGTGCAAAAATGGATGTGATGATGGGGTTGATGAGGTTTTGTTGGTGGTGGGGCATTGGTGATGGTGTTGGTTGGTGGTGGGAAGTCTGTTGGAGGTGCTACTGGGGCAATGGGTCGTGTTTGGATTGTGGCAGTGATATGGGGTGGGTTGCCAGACTGCCTTTCCTCTAATCACGTGGACGATAACGTAATTAAGTCCTTGCATATAATCCCTTGCAATTTCTTTATGTTTCATCTAATAAGAGGAAGTACAATTTATGTATTAGATCAATTTCTATCTATGGTGCTCAGGGACCTATTTAAAAGTTTTACTACTTTATAGTTTCAATTGTGTAATATAGACAAATTCCCTACTTAGTTACTTTTTAGACTTTCTGTTTAAAGGTTTGCATGTCATGAAGAGAAGTACTAGCACTCAAGGAAGCCTAACTATCTCATAACCTTCAGCTGTAAAAGTTATTTATTTATTTTTAATATTTATCACCCCATCTTATTATTTGCACAACAATTAACCTTGTTTCTATGTGTAAATACCTCAACGTGTGGTCCCTTCACCTTTTTTTTTTGTAGTTTGTAGGCTGAGATGGTTGTGTGGAAACACCTTAATCAATATAATTAAGAGTGAAGATATTAGGAGGATAGTTGGAGTTTGGTTTGGGCATGTGAGAGTAAGACTTAGAAGATGTGCTCGTGGGGAAAGTAGAGGGTTTGGATCATGGGGTCTTAGAAGAAGAAGATGGAAACCAAAGGTGACTTCTATGGAAGATTAGAATAGATACTAAGAGTTTGGGTTTATAAGTCTTATACGAACTTGATAGGAAGGAATGGAGGGATGATCATAGCAGGTCACTATAGGAGAATAAGAAGATACAATAATGTCTCATGTAGCCGACCCCATCATTCTGGTTAAGGCTTTTATTGCTGTTGTGGGGTTAATATTTTTGAATTATAAATAGTATATCTTGTACTTTCTGTGTAACTGTCATATTTCAAAGTAGCTGTGGGTCTTTTTTGTGGTTCTCAACTTCTCATCACTCTCCATTTAAGGTTAGATTATTCTGGTTATACACTTTATTCCAATTTTGGCATACTATGTTAACCACCACACTCCTCTTACCCTGCAATCTTTACCCCTTCCACAACCTCCTCCTTACTATATCTTACACTCATACTATTTTTGACACTCTCTTACTTTATCTTATGTTCACCTACTTTCTTACACACAATCTCCAACTTTTTCTTACACCCACTCATCTCTTTCATCGCTTTCTTAAATTACGTATATTTAGTGAGTTGATAAAAAATACAGAGGTAGTATTCACTGTGAGTTGATCATGGGGGTCTTGCTTTTGGTGCTTGTTTAGTGGTCGATGTCAATTTTTTGTATGTTTTAAGAATTGTTACTTTTTGGTCTAGTTGGGTGGACAGGAGATTGCATCAAAATTGACCTTATAACTTATACTGTTTCTATTATTTGTTATATAATCTGTATGTGAATTTTGCAGGATCCTCAGCCTGAGTATAGTCTTTTTGCTACCATTGTGCATTCAGGATTTTCACCTGAGTCTGGACATTATTATTCATACATTAAGGTTCACTTTTGACCTTGTACATGCATTATTTGCGGACTTAATGAATGGATCTTTCATTGGTTGCTTATTATCTTTTTATTTGGTTTTCCTTTCTTTTTATAATATATGCAGGATGTTATGGGTCGTTGGTATTGCTGCAATGATTCTTATGTGACATTATCAACTTTGCAAGAAGTACTTTCTGAGAAAGCTTATATTCTTTTTTTCACCCGGAATGGCCAGAGACCTGTTGCTGTTGATAATACTGCTATGTTGAATGGAGTGAAGCCTTATGGGATTAATGGCAGCAACATGCCTGAATCTCCGAGGAGCTCTATTCCTGCAAAAGCAATGAACATGAAATCATCTAATGCACCTTCCCTCGTTAAAAGATTTCCGTTTGCTAGTAAGAGTGTTGATGCTTCTGCTATTCTACAAAATAAATTAAGTGGCATCACAAATTCACTTGCTAAAAGAGTTTCTGGTCGTGATAATGGGACAGTTGATGTTCAGAAAAAAGAAGCTATGAGAAGTAATGGAAAACCAAATCATTCTGTTTGTAAGCAGATGAATGGAAACAATGTGCATTCAATGCAAGATAACAATGGAAAGTGTAGAAATGGTGAACATAATGCCGTTGCAAGTAGCCAGGTTTTGATAAATGGTGATACTCATCTCAAGAATGGGAATCTTGGTCCTGTAAAAGGAAGTCTTTGTGAAGACAATGGCTTAAAAAACAAAGAGACTACCAAGAAGGTGATTGATAATGGCGTCATCCATAATGGTCAAAGAAATGAGCGCAGTGATCTCTCTGGCCCGAGAAATCTGGAAAACGGAGAGAATGCAGGGAAGATGTTCGACAATGGTGCCTGTCATAATGGTCAGAGTTATAATTCCTTAGGCTACAAGAGAAATTTGGAAGACAGGGACTCATGCATTTTGTTAGCCAAGGATGCCAAATCGCGGGCTAAAGTTGAAGAATTTAAGGAACTGTATGTGTTTTTATTCACAACGCTCTCTTCTTCTTCCATCCCAAACTCATTAGTAGGATGTGTAAACAAACAAAGGAGAGTCAAGTTTCCCTGCAATCCCCCCCCCTTCCCCACAACCCAACATAAGAAGTGGATTTATGCCCCCCTCCCCCCCCCCCCCCCCCCAAAATTGTAGAATTTCTTACGTCATAGAACATGTGGAATGATTCTCCTGACCAACACACTCCTTTTTATTTAATGTGATAGCTACTTTCGAGTTATGAAACAACGTTCTTAAATAAAAACAGAAATATATGAATATTAATTGGTGATGAATAAGAAGAAAAGGATGATATGCTTATTTACAACTGAGATTGTTATAAGTTTGTGCTTGTTGCACTCTTTGTTACTAGTGTATCTTTGTTTTGACATGATGTCTTTTGAATTTATTTAGGTTTGAGCTGAATATAATAGTGTATAGATGATAAGATATATTATATAATTTGTTTAGGTGATTATTACATGATATCCATATCATATGATGCTTATTCAGATTTACTTCCAAGTCGAGTAGAGTTATGTTTTCTTGTCAATTTCATGTAAGAGATTGCTAGTACTAATTCTAGCTGAATAGCATATGCTTTTGTCCACCAGTTTACTTAAATGCTGAATTTATTTCTCAAGAGTTTTTCTTATGTTGATATTTTACTAAATCTCCAGTCTTCAAAAGGAGGCTACATTTGCTCTGCAAACATGTGGCTGGTCTGATAAGGTTTATGAATACATGAGATCAAAGAAGAGGGTGTGTGTGGATGCTTGCAGCTCAACAGATAACAAAGAGCCAAAGTAAGTCTTACAATTTTAAAACTAGATCAGTATTCTTATCTTGAACAAGATTGGTCAAAATTGCAAAGTTATTTTATATTGAATTGAATTGGGTGAAATGCTGAACATTTACTTTTACATTGGTTATTTTTACATAACTTGAACAAAGCTGTTTGCTCTGCAGTCAAAGCTTTGCATCACACATTGTTTTTAATTTGAATGAAAGTACAAAGTGTTGCATCTCACATTGTTTTTAACTTGAATAAAAATACGACTCTCTAATATTGGGCAGAGTTAAGTTGTTATGTTTGACTCTTATAGAAGGGGAGGGCATGGTCATGAATATTGCATTGTAAATTGAAGAACAAAGGAGGCTCGTAGATAAGCGACGAGAAGGAAAGATCTCAAATTTGACAGTTAGTGGCGGTAGTTCTTAGATTGTAGACAGTTCTCTTTAGTGATTTACTAAGAGGCTTGCATATGCTTCTGTGCCTTCTTCAAGAGAACTAGTGTTCACTAGAAACCCCGATATTGTTACACTGATATTTATGTTCATCCTCGACAAACACCTGGATACACTGATACACAATAATTCCACCTTTGACGCGTCTGAGATATGGAAATTTTCCCTTAAGTTCTGCCGCTAGTGTATTGAAATGCTATCTTCTTCATAGAAGACTCATCTTCACCTTTAGGGCTGGAACCTTGTGCTTCATTACTCTTGTTTTGGGTAACCCGGTAAAACTTAGTATGTGTAATTACCGTATTAAGAAGACGTTTGGTATGACTGATGGATATGGAGTGGAAAGGAAACAAATAAGTGGGAGGAAATGAATCATTTAACTCTTACCGTTTGGTTTAATCATGGAAAGTAATCACTTAAACCTATCTTCCTTTATTTTTGTTTGAGGAGGGTAAGGGTAATTGTTACCTTAGGTTTTAGAGAGGTAACAAATGGGTGGAAAACATTAGGCTTGAGTAATGGTGATTGTTACCCAAACCTTCCAACCAAACACTTGGTAACGGTAATGGTTTATTTAAATCCGTTTCCAATCAAAAAACACTCTAACCAAACATGCTATCATTGTTTTATATGCACTCCTCTTTAAAGCAAGTGCACCTAATTGGAAAAAAGAATAATGTTGAGATATTAAATTTAGTATGGACTATGAAGATTATTACAATAAAATATGCACTCCTGTTTTTTTACCTATTCTCCCTTTCATTTTTTGTCTAAATATCATCTCCTATTCTACCCCTCCCCCCCCCCCCCCAACTTTTGTCCTCTTATCTTCTCTTCAATGCTTCTAGTTTCATTATTACTATCTCCGGCCATTATTTTTTCCATTGACAATAAGCCCTTGCCCACTAACACTTTATCTTTCTAGCTGTCTAAGGCCTAAATTTGTAGAGTTGATGTGTTTGAATATCACCATAGATCTATATATATACTGGCTGGCAAAGACTGGCGATGAAATCGATTAGAGTTTTGAAGATAGAGGAAAATTAGTGCTGCTCCATCTATATCTTCCCTACCCAAGTTGTGACACGCAGACAAGGTTACAAAACGTTGACTACCTAGTCATACATGCTTTAGTGAGCATAGCACAATGTCTGTGATTTCCCAAGGCGGTTTACAGCTTTAGTACCATATTCTTCTTTATAAGACAGACAGGAAGAATTATCTGCTTTTCAACAGCTTTTTTCTGAGTTCTTTTCATGGTGAACTTAACAATAGTCTTGGTATCCTAAGGGGCCTCTAACTAGGAAATCCAGTCTCACCAACTTTCTTTATGTTACTTCAGCTGTTCTCAGAAGTGTAGGCTGACTGACTGAATGCTACCTGTGAGTGGCTCTTAAACAATTCATACTCTTTCTACCTGATAAGAGAGTAATGTTAAGGTTTGAAGTATGTTACCTGTTTAGACTTTAGAAAGACTGGTTTAGATCCCGTGCATGGATGGATATTACTCAGATCCATTTTTACTTATAATTCAAAATATATTATAATAAGAAATGCAACAAAAACAATTGACGTATGATTATGCCTCACATTTTGTGCATGAAAAAAAAAATTGAATTAGTAATTGTATAAAAAAAGAAGTTATAGGTCTCAAAATGATATTAGTTTATACATTTTTTGTTTTGTTTTGATGATTAAGACTTTTTATAAATGTTTATTGTCTAAAATTATTTTTCCATAACTTTAGATTTGTTTTAATATAATTGAGTTCCTTATTGTTGATAATTTATAAATTAACATGGACATGTTTTCTTTTATTTACTAAAATAAAATATATTATTTGATTCACGACAAAAATGGTAATTTAAGATATGTTAGATTTTGTAATAATAAATAAAATAATAAAAAGAATAAAATTGCAAAACAATAAATTGGAGGGAAAACTTCTTATCAGAAAATGTGTCATTCTAAGTTGCACGGAAACAGATACGGGGGCAAAAACGGGTACGAGTACGGGAACGGGATACGGCAAAATAAAAATTTCAAAAAAGAGTACGACAAAAAAAGAAATCAGCAAAATATAAATCCATGAAATGTAAAAAAAAAAAAAATTAAAAATAATCCATAGAACACAAATTATAGTACGGAGTACCATTTAAAACCAAAAAAGTAAAATAAATAAATAAATTGATTTTCACACCACTATAAACAGTGACCTCAAATTTAAAAAAAAAAAAAAAAGAATCACATGCTACTGTTTGTAACATACTCCATACTAACCAATAATTAATCACATTATTCACATAAATAACCAACAAAATAAATAAAATAAAAAAAAAAGAAAAAAGAAAACAAAAGGTGCGAAGAAAGAGAAAAAAAGAGCTAGAAGAAAGAGGAAGAGTAACAAGTCGAAGCCTCGCCGGTCGGAGTGGTCGCCAGTGGTCTCCGGTCACCGCAGAGGATTGAATTAAGTTGCACCTCTAAGGTAATCGCTGCTCGCAATTGTTAGGGTTTTTGAGGATTGGGGGAAATAAAAAATTAGGTTAGTACTTCAATAATTTTTTTTTTTTTTTTATTTTTTTTTTTGAAAATATGGGCTGAAAATCTAAGGAAACATCAGAAAATGAGCCAAGTCGCCGCCGATACGTATCCGAGCAAGAGGCTAGTCGTTCCCAAATTGGTTTTCCGTACCACTTTCGAAGGGGACGCCTTGGGGACGTTTCCAAGCCGCACCCGTCCCCGAAACGTTTCCGGTACGGGAGACGGCTACCATCTGACGAATCCGTGCATCCTTGTTTCATTCTTGAAGTGTTGTGGCTTGTGAGGCTCTTTGTAATAAATTAGTCGTTGAGGTTGAGGTCTGTATATATAACAATTTATCATCACTTTTACGGTTCTTCATATTCTCTCTTTTTCTGTCCTTTTGGTTTTTGTGATATTAGAATCACCACAGTGATTTTAAGAAGGCCTTATGGCCTATGTTTCCTAGAACAAGTTTTTTTGCTGCTGCATGTGTGTTAATATGACACATAAGAATGAGGATTTATAAGAACTTGACCTTTAAATTGGATACTTTTGCTGCTATGAATCACAAACAAAATATGGTAGGGAGGTTGAGATCATAAAGAAGACTAGAAGAAGCAATCTCTCTCTTATCTTGGCCTCTAGGTTACAAGGTTATTGTTCTCGTAAGTTTGAGTGGTTTTAATGTAACTAAATGTGTGGGTCAAATAAAGCTTCAATTAAAGTAGCTGACAGTGATTAAAAATATAATTGTTTGGATTTTGTATTTTAAGTTTCCTTGGAAAAATTTCTTTGGCCCTCTTTTCCTTCAATCTAGTTGCATGTTTACATATTTGATAAAAAAATTGTTTGTAGAATGTAAAATGCTGTGCCCTATTTTTTGTGCCCTGATTGACAAGAGTGTCTTCCTGATTTTATTTTGCGCCATGCTATTTAAAAGGATAGTATTTTGTAGAATTTTTTCCCATATTTGACATTCATGCCAAATCTTTATTATATGGTTTGACAATGGGAACCTGGATAATTTAATTTCATAAGCTCTATTTGGATTGATAGGTCATAGGTTTGATGTATCATGTTGCTTCAAGGTTGTATTGGCTCTTGTGTCTGGTCCGTCCTTGAAGTTGGGCTTTTTAGTGATGTGAGAGTTACATATATTGAACAGTTTATCCTTGTAGGTTGAGATCTTCCCTTTTACACGAGAGTTGTACAGTATGCCCTTGAAATTTATTTTTGCAATTTTTTTTGCCAAATTTGCTACTGAATTATCATGGACACGCTAGAGGGATTTATTTGGTATCAGAGATGTGGGTGGTGGGGGAGGACTATGTATCTAATGATCCATAAATTTGCCATTTCATATGATGAATTATAGTATCCAAAAAGTCATGGTTGTGCTATGTAATACCTCATGTCCTCGTGCATCTGAATTTCCTATGTTGGCTCTTAGGATGTACCTGTCACTAAAACTATCACCCTAATATGATCTCTAAGGATGATGTTGCCATAATGTTGGTTTTGGGTTGATGTACCACTTGTCTCGAGCTCTTGCTAAAGGAGTGATGGGTTACCTTGCACTTTGTTGTGACAACTAATGGTAGATTCTATTTTAAGGCTCCCAGTTAATGTTCAGCTAGTCGCCTAATCCAGTTACAGACTCAGTTTCTGATTTTATTACATGAGTTGTTGGAGCATAAGGATGTTAATGTTTGTGGTACTAGTGATATATATCTATGAGTTGGTTTGAACTAAATGAAAGGATTTATTGGATTGGGTGGGCTAGTCTTATGTTCTTTAGTTCCCCCTCTTCAGCTCTCCCTATTCTTTCTTCTTTCTTTTTTGGTTGGTATTTAGGAGTGAAGGACACAATCTTGTTAGCTTCTAGCTACACTGATGCTCACTAGGCATTCCCTAATTTATTTCAAATAGATTTAACATGTGACTGGAACTTTTTTCTTCCCCCACATATTTGTAATTTTGCCGAAATATTGATTCTATCTAGTTCTAAATTCATTCCTTAATGGCACTAATCTAATTCAAGATAGGGCTGTGCTTTTTGGTTTGATATCGTATTTTTTTTCTGTTTTGATTGAAGTTATAACTGTGATACAATCTAAATATGTAAAGGTATTGTTATTTGAAAAATCAATGAAAGGTGATAAACTCTGTCATCTAGAGGTGCTGGACAATGAAAAATTTTGTTATACTGGAAATTTTTTTAGTGTAGCTTCATGAGTTGGATACTCTGATGATAGAGGGAAGTGGGTAAAATCAATGAGCTCTCTGCTACCTTTATTATATGCTGTGTGTTTCTTTCTGAGTTAGCTTGTATTTAAGAGTACCACGGGTTGTTCAAAGGCCAGTCAAAAGATATTTTAGATTTTGTGCCATTGTCTAACTAGTTAAATTGCTGGAGAACAGCCTATTTCCCTTATTTCTCTTTGCCGTTGTATCTTTCAGTGGACATGACTAAGAATATCCATGCATTATACCTTGTGATTTGAGGATTGGGTAGATAGGACTCATAGGAGGGAAATTTCTGAGCTGAGGTTTGGTCTGTGCACCAGAGGATTTCCATGTTAAAAAGTGTTGCTTGAAACATTTCTTTGGTTGTGAAATGTGTTGGATTTTGGAATTTTCTTCCATTCGTCTTTGGAGCCAATTTAGTGCGACACCAGGGGGTCGGGACGTGAGATCATCTGCAGCCTGTACTCCTTAGAATAGGGATTAGCTGTTTTGGGATAATGCTTCTCAGTGTATGTTTCCTGTGCACCTTAATTCCTCTGTCAAAGTGTACTAAAAATGGGATCAATACTATTCTTGTGGGAGGATTTTGAATGTCTTATTGATTTCACTTAACTTGGTGCACCTACCTCCACTTAAGCTTAGAACTGCCATGCCGGTCAATATGGATGTTACTTTTTGGTTTTGGGTTTATGAATATGCACATACAATATGGATCTTGTTCAACCGGGGTAAAATAATTGGTCAAATGTGGTTTTTTAATTTATTTTTTTAAAAAAATTCCTTTGTTGACATGTTATTTTAGGATTGGGCACGTTTAATTTGGGTTAGGTATATTGAGGTCTGGTCTTTTTTGGGTTCATGCCGGCTTTCAAAATTATCACATTTGGGTTGAGATATGATCAGTTCTCATCCACTTAAGCTTAGATCTGCCATACTGGTCAATTTGGGTGTTACTTTTTGGTTTTGGGATGATGAATATGCACATACAACAAGAATCTTGTTCAACCTGGGTGAAATAACTGGTCAAATGTGCTTTTTCTTTTTTCTTTTTTGGTAAAATCCTTTTTTGACATGTTATTTCAGGGTTGGGTGAGTTTAATTTGGTTCATGTATATTTAGGTCTGGTCTTTTTTTGGTTCATGCCGGCTTTCAAAATTATCACATTTGGGGTTGAGATATGATCAGTTCTCATCTCCTCAAGCTTTATTAATTTTTGGGTCATGTTCAGATTGACTTGTCTCTGATTTGCGTAGTCTTATTGCAATTGCATATCACTTACCGTGAAGTCAAGTTCTTATTTATTCCTTTATTTAAAAACCCTGGGCCGTGTAAGTTGTGAACATATAGTTTAGGCAACAAGTTTGTATAAAGAAGACAATACTTCCTCCATTCCCTGCAACATGGGAAGGGAGCACGGATTTTAAGAAGAGGAGAGAGGTAGAGAGGGATAAAGATAGGAACCCATGTGATGATGAGAGAGAAAGAGAGAAAACATGTGCAAATAGGGAAATGTTGCAATATGTGAAACTTTCTAAAATGGTAATTGTTGCAATATTTGTGGAACGGAGGAAATACTATGCTAGGTTGCAATTATGGGGAACAACTAAACACACAAGTCTAATATGTTTGTAAATTGTTATTGGTATTTAAAAAAGTGGGCACTTGACTTGTTTTCTGCATCTTCCTGCAAACTATATTTAATCCAGCTGTTTTGATAAGTCTACTCATAGCTTAGTAGACTGCAGAATGTGTATGCTAAAGTTAAGAGATCCGAGATGTCTATAAGTTACTTTGTTTGTTGGCATATTGCTGAAAAGAGATTATATAATTAGTCTTTGCTAGTAGATCGCTGGCTATTTAGTTGGAATATGGGGGAAGTAATTTTCCTTGGTCACTTTAGGGTACTGATTAGTATGATTTTGTTGGGTTTTAAAAGCATCCGCTGTTGAAGCTCTCTGTAGTATCTCTATTTTATGGCAATCTGGAGGAACTTTGGTGGTTACTCAGATATATTCCAAAAGCATTTAAGTTAATGCTAATTGGCTGTAGATGGTTCTCTTTTTCTCCCCTCAATCAAGCTAAGCATTTGGCCAAAGCCCTAGTTGACCTTTGTGAGTCTTAGATACAAGTGTTTTTCACACAGTTAAACTAAATGTTGCTTGTAAGGTGGCATCTTATCTGTGAAGATGCAGAGTTGTTAGCAAAAGGTGAATATAGTTCTAGATGTTTTGTGTTGGCCAATTTTTTGGCATATTTACATGTTAAAACACAGGTTTTAGGAAAACAAGGAGCTAGGGTTCTGCATAACTTTGTAAACATTTTGGTGTATTTGACTTAATTTAACAATAACATCCAAGCCCATGCTTCTTTCCCATGGAGAATAAAATGGTGGTTCTACCTTGTCGCCCTGGTGTGGGTCGATTTAAAATGACTTGTTTGCTGTAAAATTTCCTCAATGCTCTGCTGTAGCAGATGTGTTCTTCAATTTGTAAACGTTGCTTTGCTTAAAAAAATTGAATGCATGCTAGGAGCATGAGTTCTTGGTTTCTTGCTAAAACGGCTTTATGTTTGAAGCATGTTTTTCTGTGTTAATCAAAAATAGGTTTTCAGTGGTAGTTGAACATCTGATAAATTGTTTTCAGTGAATGCTAAATCATGCCTTGGATGTCCTCACCTACATCCATTTTCTCTGTGATGACCTGCTATTAGAGTCTATAATTTACAACTTTGTGACTAAGGTGCTTTGGTTTTGAAACTAATTTTCTTATTGGTGCTGTATCACAGGAACATGTTAATTGCTGATGCCAGATCTACGTTTATTTCACAAATTCCTGGATCTTTGAAAGGAAGCCTTATCGAACACATTAGATCATTCAGCAGCCAGAAGTAGTTCATAGTTATTATTCTCGAATCGCTTGGCAGAAGAAGGTATCTGGCACTTTCAGAATTTCATTAGCAGACTCCACTTTAATTTGGAATGGGTTGTAAACTTAATTGTAATATTCGGGGAGGCTTACTATGCGGCCTCCCCCGTATACATTTTATACAGTTGCCGGTGGATGCATATCAAGTAGACGACTATTTTCTGCCTATTCTGCTGCTGAAAGTGATTGCTACCAGTCAGATGGTAACGTTTCAGGGTTAGGCTTTGATGTACAAATCTTGAGGTAGGTTTTGCAGTTGTTTGATGGAGATACTCAGAAATTGATGTATTCAGCTACATTTATAATATCCTTTTTGTTCTAAACTTATCCCATTTTATGGATGTGCAACAATTTTTATCTGTAAAATGTGGCCGGAGAGATGAAATTATACCCCAGATTTGAGGTTCTGTATTATTCTGCTCTGTGCAAGAGTTGCATTCATTATTATTATTGTTATTGTTATGATTATGATTATGATGAATATAAAAGCATAAAATAAACTGACAAACATGCACGTTAATTACTAATTTACTATTAGCACATTACCACCATTTATTACTTACTACCTTAGTAGTATCTTTAGCAATTTATTTTCATACGTCCAGTAATTTGGCTTTTTGTTTTTGTTTAGTAATTTGGTTGGTTTATCCTTCTTTTAGTGGTGGTATGTTATTTTATAGGAGGGGAATTATATAATGCTTTGTGAGAGTTATAATGATAGGCTTGGTCCCAGAACAAGGTCTTGTAGCCATTGATCAGTAGTCAGTACGTTCAAGCAATCATAATCATCGTATTGGCTCGTACTAGAGATTTCTTTGGGCTCTCAGTACCACGGTTTTAAGATCATTCTCCCGTATTTCAATTGTTTAAGAATAACTGCAAAAGTTGAATGTATAAGGTTCCTGACAATCATTAGGGTAAAAAACATTTAAAATGTTGTACAAGGTTAGTTGGAAAATTAATTAAATATAAGCAAATGATTTAGAGAGATAGTAATAAACTACTCCCACCGTCCTTTATTTATATACCTATTTTTAACATTTATTACTCACATAATAAAGAGAAATAGGCATGTAAATAAGGTACGAGAGAGTAATTATCTTATAAGTTATTTAATTACATAGCTTCTCTTTCACTGAGCTTCTAGATACACTAATACAACATCCTAGAAGTAGCCAAGTTGAAGAAAGTTGAGAGATGAGAATAAAGGAAAGTTCTAGTGCTTTAACAACTCAAGTACAAAACTCTAGGATCTTCTTCTTTGTTCTTCATTCATCCCTTTAAAATAGCAAGAATACAATTCAACACAAACCACTTAATAGTTTATATATCATACAAATTGAAAAAGAAAAAAAAAAAGCAAGAAAAATGGGAGAAGAAGTGATATTGTTGGACTACTGGTCAAGTCCATTTGGAATGAGAGTTAGGATTGCATTAGCTGAAAAAGATGTAGAGTATGAAGAAAGGGAAGAAAATCTTAACAACAAAAGTCCACTTCTTTTGAAGATGAATCCTGTTCACAAGCACGCAAATCCCTGTTTTAATTCACAAAGGGAAGCCTGTGTGTGAATCTATGATCATTATTCAATATATTGATGAAGTTTGGGCACATAAGGCTCCCCTATTGCCTTCTGATCCTCATCAGATGGCGAATGCTCGGTTTTGGGCTGACTACATCGACAAGAAAGTAAGTTTTCTCGTCTGTAGTTTGTTACATTGCTTCACTTCTTCATGATTAACTAGTGAGTAGCCTGTTCCCCGGTTACTACGTTACTTTTAAAGTTGTGCAACTGCTAATTTTAAAGAGAATCTAATAGTTTGTATGTAGTATGTGTCTTCAATAGTTTGTAGTATAATATTATTTATTGTGCAAGGCTATATAATAATTGACAATTAGCCTAATGGTTAAACAACAACCTTTCTTGTAAGAGGTCAAGTGTTGGAAGGAGTACAATAGTATAAACACATCATAGTTATGTAGTACAATGTTAAGTATATGTGACTGACTTAATTTCGGAATTGTTGCAGATATACAACATAGGGAAGTTAGTGTGGGCTTCTGAAGGTGAAGTGCAAGAGGCAGCAAAGAGGGAACTAGTAATGTGCTTCAAATTGTTGGAGACAGAGCTTGGTAACAACCGTTTCTTTGGAGGTAAAAATCTAAACATTGTTGATATAGCTCTTATACCATTTTACAGTTGGTTTTATGCCCTCGAAACATGCGGCAACTTCAGCCTTGTGGAAGAATGTCCCCACTTTGTGGCGTGGGCTAAGAGGTGTATGGAAAGAGAAAGTGTTTCCAAGTCTCTTCCCGATCAATACAAAGTTTATACTCACCTGTTGGAGCTAAGAAAGCAGCATTTTGCTGAGCTCAAAGGCTAATTGAAATTCATTGTATCGTGTTTTTAAGGGTTTTTTTCCCCTCCTTTTCTTATCATTTTTGTTAATGTTTATCGTATTAGCTTTCGAAGTTTGAAAATTATGCTACCCTACCAATGTTTATGTAGACAAGTTAATCGTGAAACATGTACTTAATAAAGAGGGACTAGTATGTTTGTATGTCTTGTAAATGTGTTCCTTCAATATTAGTACAATTTTAACTTGCTTTATAAAAAAACAGCAAGACTTTTTTTTTTTTTTTTATTAGTACAGTATGTTAATTCATAATTGGGATTTTACTCAATTACTCTATTCCAGGCAAGCGAAATGCTGAAAACAAAGATGTTTATTCATATATAGAATTATAGATTGTATTACATGGTCTTGTTGATAACTACATTCATGATTTTTTAGTACATAAAACAAAGCTGCCTCTTAAGTAAGAATGTAAATTTCTTACAAAGTTCAGCACTTCCAGTTACTCGATTCCCAAATGTTGTTTCCTTGCCCCCAAGATCAGTTCAGAAACTTTGTGCATTTCAGGAAGAGATTTCTTTACAGCATCTCTTTGTTCACAACGTTTCGCCCAAGCAATAATCTTAGGACACTCTGCCTCAATACTGAAATCGCCACAACTTTCATATGTATCAAACCAGGAGTAAAATGGAATAAGAGCGATGTCCACGAACCCAAAGTTATCACCTCCGAAGTAGCATTTATCTCCAAGTTCTTCCTCTAACAACTTCAGACTTTCAATGAACTCTGATTTAGCTGTCTCTCTTTCGGTGCTTTCCTTTGTTCTCCACAATGTTTTACTTGCTGGATAAAACTGCGTAAAAAAAGCAAAAGTGGTGAATTGATCACAGGTTTGTTATTCGAGGGACATCCAGACAATAAATCAGACTATACAACGTCTTGATTACAAGATTATTTTAGTCTACCTCCAATTTATTAGATGCAATGACTATAGGACGTCTTGATTTACAAGATTATACAAATCAGACTTATGAACTTGATTTTTCTCGGTTATTCAGTTAAACTAAACAAATGGATGGAGTATTTAATTAAAAAAAACCCCAATTAGAAAAATCCATAACAAGGTATAGCCACTGATTGATCTAAATTAGCTATTCTTACAAAAAAAAACTAACCCATTATCATTTTTATTGGGGTTAATAAAGGTTCTAGAAATAGTACTAAAACAATGAGGAATCTCAGATTCTCAACATAGTAGCAAAACAATTTGTTGTACCCCTGATTCAATTATTGCACCATTTTGTATTCCATGTTTGTCAACACATAATTTTACATATTGATATTTGTTTTGTACTGTCCCTTAATATCGAGATAGTATTGTCACTCACTCTCCCTTTAACCAATACATCTATACAAATCTAACATCATACAATCAAATCTTATAAAGATGATTTAGAAATAGAGGGAGTAATCAACAATTTAATATTACAAATTATTATAATACTCCTTAATTATCTTATTCTAAATATATACATGTATAATTTCATAGAGTTCAATTTCTGAAGATCTACATAAGCATCTTTCAAAACTTCTTAGTAGCAAAACATAGGTCAAATCTAAATATTTTTGTTGAATACTCAAACATTATCATTAAGCTAAAACAACACAAACTCCTTAAAAAATTCATAAACTTCAGAAAATTAAACCAAATTCAATACAGAAAAAGACTAAATTAAGATAATTGATAATATTAGTTAGTAATAAATAGACTGTACCTTTTTGTCAACCAAGTCAGCCCAAAATTTAGACTGAGATTTCTGGTAAGGATCAGAGGGCAATAAGGGAATTTCCCCTTTCCAAACTTCATCAATGTACTCCACAATTATCAATGACTCACAAATGGGTTTTCCATGGTGGATTAGAACGGGGATTAATTTGTGAATAGGGTTCATTTCTAGCAACAATGAGCTTTTTTTGTCACCCATAAGATCTTCCACTCTGCAATCATAATCAGTGACATTTTTCTCAGCTAATGCTATTTTGGGTCTCATACAAAACATGCTTGCCCAGAAATCAAGTAATATTAGCTGCTCATTTGCCATGGTTGAAGTTTTTTTTGAGTGTGTTTGTGAGAAAAGTATGACTAATATGTGGGTTACTGATATGTGGGTTATTTACGAGGAAGCCCAGGTTTATCAATTTGATAAACTTGAAATGTTTATCAAATGACAATTTGGTTATTATCTTGCATAGAATCTTGTGCTGGCTAATTAAAAAATATTTTCATCCTTTTTTTAATCATGTGCTGAAGATTGGTCCCTAACTGACGGAAGTTACTCATCTTCTCCCTCTAAACAGAAGAAAGAGAAAGAAGACCCAGGTTCTCCATTCAACAATGGAGGAAGGTACCATTTTCATCACCATATTTTCTTCAACAATGAAGTCGTCAATTAAAATAATGATCCTTCTTCTTCCTCTTTCCTCCTCCATTGAAGCTCACATCAAAGGCGACACCATTGAAGATGGTGACATTGAAGATGACCCCATTCGGCGCCTCCAGCGCCGATATAAACGAAAAACCCTAGAAATAAGGGTAAATTAAGGGCATGGTCAACCCTTAAGGGTAGGATGACCATGTCCTCCATTAAAGCTAAAATTGGGCTTGAAGATTGAATTTCTCCATTATAATTTTCTGAATTTTTCCATTATACATACACCAAATTGGAAGAAAAATCGACTTACAAACTCACTGGCGTTTGGTCGACTCGCCGACTTTCTCTAGTGAAGAAGATGAATTTGCTTGTAAATTTTGACTAACGTCAAGGCTAACGCTGTTAGTTGAATTTGCCTAACAAAAATATTAAATGGCAAAATTATCCCTACTATTCATGAGTAAATAGTCCAATATACCCTTTGATAAACAACTCATGTTTATCATATTGATAAACTTGAATTTTCTCTATATATATGGCACACCAATTAATTTTTCTGCAAGTTAAGTACTACTCCCTCCATCCCTTAATACAAAGCCTATTTGTATTTCTCTCTTCGTTTTTAAATACTTGCTATATTTCTATTTTTTGCACTATTCATTTGTCCTGACAAATGTTTGTGATTTATATATAAGAAAAAATATAATCTTATGGGTATTTGTTGGAATCATCTCAGTGAGTAGATTATTAATTTTCAATTGTTAGAATTTATACTCATTGATAATTAAAGATATTAGTGATCAAAGATTAGCATCAGCATGCGGGTCCAAGAGAAATGAAGCAAATATTTAAAAACGGAGGGAGTATTTATTACTCATATTTTTTTTGAGGAAATTTATTACTAACATAATAAAGAGAATGAGGTTTTGTACTAAGGGAGAGATGGAATACTAAATCGTGGGAATATAAAAGTTTATCATCATGACAAAAAAATATTTATTAATTAAACATGGGCATTAAAAATGTTTATTTATTCACGAAAATGTTTTGATTTGTTTGCATAAATATCATTAGATAAACTTTTATTATTATTATTATTTTAGGATAATAAACCAAAGCTTCCTCATCTAATACGTTGTATTTTCTTTTTCTTTAAAAAGGTAAGATAAATAAACATTAGGAAGTCTTTCTCACTAAAGAAATTCCTAATGTATAAAAAAAAAAGTAAATAAACTAGAGCTATTACAAACATCACTGTCCATACTACCAGATATTAAATAGTCTATATTAACTATCCAATGTGTTGTGCGATTTCTCTCTCATTATATGTGATGGATGCTTTGATAGTGAAACTGAGTGAGAAAAGAATGAGTGTATTTGATAATATGCTCGACCTTAGCTTCTACTTCAAAATTCTGATTGCCACATTGAAGAGTTAGTTGGAACTCTTTATGATTATCCTATGAATAATTTGGTGTTGTTGAGCTTGAACGTAGATACATTAATGAGCACTCCATTGTTATGTCTGATGATGACTCCTAATGTTGCTGAATTATTGTGAGCCAATCAAACCATCAAATTTAAGTTTAAGAGGTTGTTGGAGACATCCTCCATGATATAAGAGTGGATTATGTGGAATGATCATGAGAAGAATGGTAATAGATCAAGGAATGGGAGATCCCATAAAAGAAAAGGTATCCACTACACTAATACATTTTATAATAAAAGGAAAGTGTTGGGATTATTATGAAATGAAGGGAGTATAAAAAAAAATCACGCCAATTTGTTTCAAGCTATTTTCAATTCAAGTCTATTTGGGTTTAAATCGGCTCGGGTCACTTCGGGTATCATGTAAATTTCGGGTTGGATAAAGTCAAATCGAGTCACTTCGGGTATCGCGTCATAAGTGGGTTAACTCTACTTCAAGTTGTCAGATATGATTTCGGGTCAGCTCTGATTTTGATTAGTGTTTGGGTAGGTAATTGTTTAAGGTCCATATCAGGTCTCTATTTTACCTAGTGGAGTTAACTTGCTTTTGACCTGATACTCGAAGTGACTCGATCCTATTTTATCCGACTCGAAATTAACTAATACTTGAAGTCAATTTGGCCCGATTTTAATGCGAATTACACCCGAATAGAAAATAGCCTAAACCAAACTGATTATTTTCAATTTTTGTGGTAATATGTAAGTGCAATGGATCCGAGCTTGACCTAAAGTCTCGATCCAATTTTAAAATTGCCTCAAAATTCTAATCTGAAATGACTAGACTCAAACTTGGCCTAAAGTCTCGACTAATAAGATTACCAATCCAACCCAAACGACTTGAGTTCTCGATGTATATATCTGTACCCAAAGGTGTCAAAACCGAACCGACCCAAAAAATATTATCCGTTTCGAACTATAACCGTTCTTATTTGATCCGAGAAATTCAAGACCCAAACCCGATTTGTAACAGAACTGAACTCAACCCGAATCCAAAAATTGACTTGATTTGAACTTAACCTGACACCGATTTGATCCGATCTGAACTCAACCCAAATTCGATTTGACCCGACTTGAACTCAAATCGAACCGAATTGATCCGTCCCGAGCTCAACCCAATCCGAAATCGACCCGACATATAACCGATGTAATCCGATCTGTTTTGACCCAAACTAATATTAACCCGACCTGATTTAACTCGATTTAATTTTTACCGGATCCGTATTTAACCCGACCATAATTAATTATTGACTTTATATTCAATTTCTTATACTATTATATTTACTAATTATTAATAAGTTAATGTTTTTTACTACAAAGAAGTAATCAGGAGTAACAAGTTTACTTCAAGTTTACTTTTTTTTTTGACAAGATACTTCAAGTTTACTTCATGTATATACCAAATATATAAAATTACTTTTTAAGCTTTATATTCGTCTCATCTAAAATTTGCTACAAATAATTTATGATACTTGAACATTAAAACCTCTTCTTTTAACTCGATAAAAAAAATGATACGTAAATGACTTGATATTGACCCACTAATAAGATAATAACTCAATAATAACTCTAGTTTAAAAATAACCTTATTTGGATATGAATTGGGTCAACTTGATTAAAATCAACCCAAACACAGAAAGGAGTTGAATTGAAAGTGACCAATTAATAAATCAACGGATCAACCTTATCTTAATTAGGGTAGCCCACGCGCGCGATGCACGCGGATGGCTAGTGGTTACATTAGGCTCTTTTGGCTTTCGTTTACACTCCACACATAAGTAATGGATTGGTAATGAACTTTTCGCTATATGTCTTCGGTTATAATGTGAATATATAAAGTGAGACATATCGTCTTATTAATGTTATATATTACAAAATGAATGGAAGAATCCTTTTGGCACATTAGAACAAAAGCATCACAACTTCACAAGTAAAGTTTAAACCTTGCAGACTATTTTTTTTTGAAAAACAAACCTAGCAGACTTTAGATAAACAATTTATAAATAAGAACTTCTTCACTTAAGGAACATATAATTTGTTTTTCTGTGCTCTTGTGTATTAATTGCTTTTGTATCTCATGAGCAATACTATGTGTAGACACCTAAAAATGTCTCCCCAAAACCAAACCCGATGATGAACAACCTTTCACCGCCACTATTGGTCGGGTTTAGTATTTAATCCCGAGAGTGCTCAAAAAATCGTATTTTATTAAATTCATATTTTTGAACAGTCCATGGATTAGTTTTGATGTTTGGTAAAAGCATAGTTTTAATTTCAGCCCAAACTTATTAATTAATTCTAGCCCAAACCTTTTTTATTTTATTGTTTTATTATTTACTTTTGGCCCAAACCCTTTATTTATTTTTATTTAATTATTTTCTTATTTTAGCCCGAATAATAAAAGTCAGAAAAGGCCCGAAATTATCAATCGGCACTTAAAAAGCCGAAGGAAATTAGGGTTAAAAATGTATTTAGACGGAAAATGGACTGGAAATTCCCGCGCCACGGCAGACTGCCACCGTGTCACGGGAATCCTTCCCGTCTGACGATGGGATTTCCCGTGACACGGGAGGTCTGCCGTGACACGGGACGTTCCGTGTCTTTTCCGCGTAAACCCTTGACGCGTTTTCTATCCCGTTTTCTGAAAATTTCCCGCGTCACGCCAAAAGTGTACCGTGTCACGGGAAAGTGTACCGTATGACGGTAGAGCTTCCCGTGTCACGGTACAGTATGACCGTGTCATAGGATACGTTTTTAGGGTTTTTATCATTTTAGGGTTCCGTGTGCTCCCTCAGCACATTTTCCCTATAAATACCCCCTCATTTCTGATGAACGGGGCACCGAGTAATTTTATTATTTTATTTTCTCTCTTCTATGCTTTAGCCTAAACACTAGCCTACCCTTTTCACTTCAAAATTCCTTCTTCAAGCACTCAAAGGAGTCCATATTTTACTCGAGGTTCTGTCCTTAAACCAAGGCGTGAAAGGTAGAACTGTTTGAGGGTTTGGCCCCAAAATCAACTTTATTTTATTTAATTTAATTTAGTTATTGTTTTATTATTTCCTTGAAGTTACTAACTCGTTTATTATTTTGTAGTTGCAAACAAACAGAATCAAAGTAAGAGTCATGCTCCTTTTATTTTTATTATTTTTCTAACGATTTTATGTTGTTGGAATTGTGATTAATTGGTTTTAGTATTAATGTTGTTCTATTAAATTTATTGATCACCATGTTGCATGTTTAAAGGGAATATGTAATTGAAAATCACGCCTAATAAGATAAT